CGTCAAAATGGCCAGTGTCCAGGCCGCCCAGCTGTTGCTGCTGCTGCTGCTGCTGCTGCTGCTGCTGTTGCTGCTGCTCGCTGGGCTCGTCGAGCTCCTGAAGCGGCTGCCGCTGCGCGCCTGCTCCCTGCTGCTGCTGCTGCTGCTGTTGCTGCTGCTTGCTGCTGGCCTGCAGCAGCAGCAGCGCATAGAGGACTGTTGCTGCGTCTTCTTGAGTGAGCTGATGAAGCCTTTGGTAGATCTCTTTGCCGAGGTGTACGTACACCCGAGGGTCTCTGTAGGCGAGTTTGGCGAAGGCCGAGAAGGCGCCACAGAGGGCCCTAGTGCTCAGCTGCTGCTGCTGCTTCTGCTGCTGCTGCGGGCGCTGCTGCTGCTGCTGCAGGTGCTGCTGCAGCAGCCGCGCAGCGCGGGCTAGGAAGGCAGTGTCTCTCCAGCCCACGCGCTCAAAAGCCACAACTGCAGCAGCAAGTGCTGCAGCAGGCAGCGACAGAATGTGCAGCCGCAACCTTGCTGCAGCAGCACGAAGAAAAGAATTTGAAACAGCTTTGGGGGGCCCCCTGGAGACTGCTGTCAGCAGCAAAACCACCAGGTCCAGGGGCATCTGGGGGCCCCTGAGGGCCCCCTGCTGCTGCAGGGCCCCCCACACCCGCTGGTTGCGGATGCCCAGTGCTGCAGCAGCAGCAGCAACCATTCCCAGGCCCGCAGAAGAAAACTGCTGCTGCAGCAGCAGCACTTGCCTCTCCAGCAGACTCAGCAGCTCTTTGTCTCGCACCCCAGCCCGCCCAAACGCATGCAGCAAACACGCAATTGTCTGCGCATTGGGGACACCCCGGTGGGGGCCCCTTCCCTGGGGGCTCCCGGGGGGCCCCCCGGGGGGCCCCCCGTCGGGGCCCCCCTGGGGGCCCCCCGGGGGGCCCCCTTGGGGGTCTCCTGCAGCAAGGGCGCGGAGGCGGTGTTTGGCTGCTTGGGCTATGACAGCAAAGAGCCTAGGGTCTTTGAAATGCATTTTAATAAATGCTGTTGTGAGTTGCTGCAGATCGAAAAGAGAAAAAGAAAGTGGAGAGCTGGGGTGTCTGTACACCGCAAGCCTGTAGAGGGCCTCGTCGGCAAGCGCATGCAGCCACGAGGTGTCTGTACACCCCAGCTTGGCCAGGGCGGAAGAAGTGAGGGCGAGTTCGGGGCCTTTGAAGCGCCGCAGCAGCTGCTGCGCCCGCTGCTGCAGCAGCAGCAGCTGCTGCTGCTGCAGCAGTGGGCCCCCAAACGCCCCCAGGCCGCTGCACAGCAGCGCCAGATCCTGCGGCCCGTACGAAGCCGTTTGCTGCTCCCCCTGCAGCAGCAAACGGCAGCAAGCAGCAGCGAACAGCAGCAAGCAGCAGCAAACAGCAGCACGCAGCAGCAAACAGCAGCAGCAAATAGAATGCAAAAAATAAATAATAAAATGGAACTTTTAAATGAAAAAACAAAAACTTAAAAGGATCTTTTTAGTTTGATAAATATGCATGCAGTTAGCAAACTTAAATGTTTCTGCAAATCCCCACAAGTTCTGGGGCCCCACATTTAGCAAACAAAAAGTGAGATATAATTATAATTTAAATGTTTTATTTCATTTTAAATGGTTTATTTTACTTTAAATGCTTTATTTTATTTTAAATGTTTTATTTTTTTTGTGTTAATTATGAATGCAACAGTTGCGTGCCGTCTATACATCCCAAACGCAGCAGCAGCAGCAGCAGCAGCAGCAGCTGCTGCTGCTGCTCTTGCTGCTGCTCCCGACTCACGTGTTTTGCTGCTGCAGCAAAGAGGGCGTGTCTGTACACCTGGAGCTTGGCGAAGGAGCTGACGAGCAGCGCAGCATCTTGTGGGGTCCAGTGGTCAGTTTGCTGCAGTGCTGCTGCTTCAATTGCTGCTAGAGCTTGTGTGTGTCTTGCTGCAGCAGCAGCAAGTGCATGCGCAGCAAGCGCCAGCTGCTGCGGCCGCATTGCTGCGGCAACTCGGGGGATTTGAGCAGCAAGAGCAGCAGCAAATTTGCTGCGCGCGCTGCTGTACATACACCTCGTGCTGCTGTTGAGCGCGAGCGCCACGTCTTTGGGGCCCATTGCTGCTGCTTGCTGCAGCAGCCGCTGCGCTGCAGCAGCAACTGCTGCTGTTGCTGTTGCGTCCAGCGGCAGACGCAGCCGCGCATGTGCTGCCAGCAACTCTCTGCAGCACGAAACACCAGCTGTATGTACACTGCAAACAATAGCAGCAGCAAGCTGCTGCGCTGTACGTACACTGCGCCAGCCGCACTGCTGCATCACCCGCAGCAAGTCCCGCGCCTCAGCAGCAGCAATTGCTGCAGCAGGCAGCTGCTGCAGCCGCTGCTGCAGCTGCTGCTGCAGCACCCGGTCCCGCAGCCCGCTGCCCCGCAGCCCGTTGTACACAACCAACACATCAGCAGCAGCAAAAGAAGCAGCAGCAGCAGCAGTTGAGCGCGCCAGGCTCTCCCACTGCTCAGCAGTCAGACGCAGCGGCTGCTGCTGCTGCTGCTG